TAACTAACTAACAAGAATAAACACAATACTGACCTTCAGCATCTTTTTAAGAGTTGCTTCGTTGACAACAGCCATGGTTTACTACACGAGTAGAAACAAACACACTAAACTCCAGAGAAATATCAGAATAAATGTGTGAAATAAACGAGTGTCTGAGCTCAGGCCAAGACTCCCGACAGACCCAGACACACTCGTATTAACGCCTGCTGTCCGACACAAACACACTCTAAACACCCCAATAGCCCATTAACACGGTCCGAATAATAGTTACTTAATGAGAACTCAATAAATGTAGGTAAAATCGGCCAGCATTCATCTCGAGGAAGATAAACAAGACGAGCGGCGCGAGCGTCACAGCAGTTTCACTTCCGGTGGGTTTTCCAAAATAAAGGTCTGACAAGTGGTTCCAGTTGACATATTTAATTCATAAGTCATTATTCATTATTTATTATAATAAAATAATGATGGTCTATTTTATCATCATTCATTTGTCATTTTACTAGTTTAGGTTGGAACAGATTTTTAAATGTGCAGTTAAGCATTCCACGTCCACAGACAAAACCAGCACTTAATGAATACAACTTAAAAGTATCCACATTTGATTTTGTTTTTTTTATAAAACTGAGTGTATTGTGATTGTAATATCCCACTGTGTATATCTGCATATTTACATATTTATGTAGGTGTTTTTTTGTACAGGTCAATATGAATACATATATATCTAAACATTTAACTGAGCATGAATCACTAGGAAAACCTTGCTTCATAAACATGAATATTTACATCAAATGTACATCAAATCTGAGTATTTACATCCATGCTGCTCAAATTTCACATTCATCATTATTATTTGTAAACAAACGTCTACGGTTTCCTGCAAATGTCTACTTTAACAAGAACGCGTGCGTACAAAATCACATTGCAGATGCATCTAGCAAGCTAACAGACGGTTTCATTATGTTCCGAGAAAGGAAGACCGTCCTCTCTGTCCAGCGTCACGTGTGAGATTTCCTCAACTGAGCGTTTGTGATGAGCAGAACCTGCTGTAAAGAAACATGAATAGTCATTTTACCTAAACATCCACACAAATGTATTTTCTTTAAAGGGGTCCTATTATGCTCTTTTACAAAGTCTT